AAACTGAAGAAGTGTCAGTCTAGGAGCTGTGTGGCAGTTCTCTTCCCCAGTACTGTGAAAATCAAGAAAGCTCTTTCAAAACAAGCTATTCTTGTGCATGAATTTCACCTATGAGCCTACAGAGCAGAACTGATGGTCTGCTAAATTGTAAACAGCAACAGTTTCCCAAAGGACTTTGTCAAACAGATACTGTAATGATGCAGTAAGAATATTCACCAGAGAATACAGATATCTAGCAGCCCAAACAACAGTTCTGCAGTACTCGCCTTCATACTCATATACTTTAAACTAGGTCATGTGAACTAGGTAATGAACATATATTTACATGCTACAAGATGCATATCAGAAAATGTTGTGCCTCATGAAACTGTAGGAAGTTACTTTCCTGTGCTCAGAGCAGAGGGTTGCTTCCTTTCCAGGCCTTCTGGCTTGGCTCATGGGAATGCTTACCACTTTGTGGGAAGTCCAACAGACAGTTGTCTCACTGCTCAGTGTTCCTCTGGGTTTTTTTCTGCGGCAGCTCATACAAGAAATAGAGCAATCTGTTTGCCCTGTGACACGCAGATCGCAAAATAAGTGTTTAGGAAAAAAATTGAATGCATATGCAGATTTTGTCTAATTCAAGGAAATGGAAGACCCCAAGATGAAGGATTCAGCATCCCTTGGTTTATCTCGACAGTATTTGCTGTAGTACTAGATTTGAAAGGCTTTATGGAGTCTTAGGTGCAGGGAGGATGAAACAGTCTTTCTACCGGAGTTCTCTTTCAAAAAAAACATATTTTGCCTCAACAGAAACTTTACGTGAAGAGCTGAGAATATTAAATACACGTATTCATCTGCTTTTACTGGAGTTGTTAAAAAGACTGTATTGGTACTAGGGAAAGGCACAAGAATGTGAGAGGAAACTGTTGTGGATGGGGGACTTTTAGTAAGGCAACTGTAATTAATGTGTGAGGACTTTTTCTAAGTGACTTACCTCCCTTGGAAGTAAACTTTTCTTTCTTGCTTCACATCTTAAGTAGCAGTATACTGAAAGAATCGAGTTAAAAAAATAACATTAAAATGTGAAAACTCTAAGGCAAACAAACAGTCAGACACTGTATCAGTGTTGAGAGAGAGATTGTCTCTTATTGCCTGAATGGTAAATGCTTTGAACTGTCTCGCCAAAATATAAAACTCCCTGGCCAAAGAGTTTTTGAAAGAGCAATGAGAATTTTTTAGTGGTGGTTTATGTTGAAGAGTGAGCTTGTTAGATGAAGTGCTTGGGACAAATTTTGAAGCTTCTAACTATTTAGACTGAAAAGAGTTGAAAGAGAGCTTTGTCTAAACCAGAGCAACTTATGAATACAAATAAAACTTATAATACCTTTTTACACAGAAGTGTATTTTGTTTGAGCCATATTTTTGAGGTTTTGTACAGTAAGAAGAGAAAATTTAAACTATCAGTACTAAGTCACATGCTAAAATGCACAAGGAT